GACTAGTATTGAGTTCATAAAAAGTACGCAGCTAATGCGTCCGGCTTGAGACATGCCTCGCCCTCCAATCTGCTTTTGACAGAAGTTGGCTAAAATCGAAGCGGAAGACCATTAGGTAAAAATAAAACCCAATCAGGCATAAATTAAGATAAATATTTGCACAAAGGGAAACGCGAAACAACGGAAAGTAAAGCGGGCCGGCTAAATGAATCAAAACTGTTTCGGTTACGTGCCGCAAATCTAAGGACAATCAAAACCTGCACGAATCACCGACAACTGGTCATAAGGGAAAGTGGCATCCTCACACCTCAAGACATATCTTAGGAGCAAGCAGGTAAGTTAACCTGAGAAATGCCTGCTGCAGAAAGCCTCAGCAGAACTAATGTCAAGCGTGGCGTAGAAATGGCCTTGGTCTCCCTACCAGAGAACTACTGTTCACAATCACCTTCATTTTTAAAATGTCCCAGAGCGCCGCCCGTGACTTCGAAAAAGAAGCAGATGGAATTTGTAAGAACATCTACTATAGTTCCATATCAATAACAAGAGGACGGGTTATTTCGCAGTCTAGGACACATGACAGCATGTTGCACTAAAGGCAGATAAGGTGGATGTGATATCTCATGAAATGTTAACCGAAATTCTGAAATACGTTTTCGATTCTTAATAACGGTTAGGGTCATGTTTAACCACGGCAGTCAAAAACAGTATTTTGCTTAATAGCCAGAATTCTGTTAAGTATGCCTTTTGTCGAGGATCATCTCATATTTCCGAACCCTTTTCTTTTCCCGGATATCCTGCTGCTACACTGCATTCTAATTCATCATTCTCCCTTTATGTCTGATACCCCTTAACATGATTGTTAGACGTCTCTATTTCACTGTCCGTGCCTGCCCAAAAGGCTCCAGATTCCTGGAAGCAAGCAATGCGCATGCATCAGCAGGCATAACAGCTTAGACGTCACATGTAAGTTTCTCATTGGCTAAGGAAAACGGAGGCAGCCAATCCCGACAGGGTGACCGGAAGTGCTGTCTCATGAAATGCTAACCGGAATTCCAAAGTGTTTTCAATCCGAAAAGATTGCTTACAAAAGTGGAGTTGTAATATTAATTATCATGTGGCATAATCCAAGGATATTTTGGTCGCGTCAGGGTGCCTGCTTTTGAGCGAATTTCTTTCCGGCCGCCTGCAAAAACTACGTTTCATAGAAAGTGACCACTCACATAGTATGAATTTTTCCCGTTGAGTTTCGATGCCCTTATAAACTCAAATATAGTTTACAAAAAACATGCATGAAAATACTTTCCTCACACTTTTTGGAAGTCAGTTAGGACTCCCTTAAATTGTGTCCTTAAAAAAGTATTTTTCGATTTTAAAGACCTTTTTTCCAATTCCGGAGTACTTTTGAACCCGGTCTCACGCCACACTTACATTCAAGGCTTCCAAACTACAAGCTACATATTTTTCATGTGCGGAAAATCATATTCTTATATGTTCTCAAGAAGATGCCATATAAGGCATTAAAAAGTTTGCAATAGATGTGGACCATGCTACATGCTTTAAAAGCAACACTTGTAGACGCACAGATGCATCTCAAGGTCTTAAAAATCTCATGACTAGAAACTCTTAAAACCTTTAAGGTGTAGTTTTTTTTACGGAGTGTAGTTCTTTCATTAGTAAACGGACAGAGGCATCTCAGGGTCTAAAAATCTCATGTTTAGAAACTTTCTTAAAACCAAAGATACCCTTTCCTTTAAGGTATAGTAGTTTTTTACGGCGCGTAGTTCTTTCAGGCAGCCAGAAAGGAGCTCGTTCAAAGACCGGCCTCCTGACGTGACTGAAGTACATTTTGATGGTGCTGCACGATAATAAATATTACGAACTTACTTATGTAAGTAATCTTTTCGAATCAAAAACACATCTCAGAATTTCAGTTAACATTTCGTGAGGTAGCGCATACACTGTATCTGACTCTCGTGTAACACGCTGTCATTTGCCCTAAATTGTGCGATAACCTGTCTCCTTGCTACTGAGATATGCGACTATAGTAGAGGGCACTCCCGTACATTACATCTACTTCTCCAGAGACTGGAGAGCCCTGTGCACAGCTCTCTTTATATGGCGCACGTTGCCTGATGCTACCTGAGAATCGCATTTGCACCACGAGTGATATCAATTTCTTCTCACACAAAAAGACAAACGGAGACCAGCCGCACAAATCAGTTTTTTCCTCGTCAGGCCAAGTCGAAAACGTTCTACAGCATATAGTCTAGGTGAAACATCCGATGGGTTTCTAGAGGCTATCCCCCTAGCACCTTTTGCGAGAATAACACTAGGGGAAGTCTAGCAGGTGTGCTGCAGCAAACACGTCCTTCAACAAAAACATGAACCAAGAACGTGGCAGATTGGACGTACGCTATCCAGGTGCAGTAAAGTTGGTAAACGCTGTAGACTGAAAAGATTGTCCGACTTAAATGGATTGGTGGCATTCTTCCATCTGAAAGGCAAAGGTCGAAATAGAACAATTCGGCCAAAAAGACCGATAAAACTAAACAATAACGACAAGAACAGAATACCAGAAACCAAATGCCGGAATTTAAAGCGCTGCCAGCTAGGTCGTTGAAGTTGCAAGCTGATTCATAGGTGTCTACCTTGAACCGTCAGTCGCTCCTCTGGGACTTAGGAGTGCACAGCCGATGGTTCAGAATCAGATCCACTAGATGAAAGCTTGAGCAACGACTTCTACTGACTGCCACCAGCTCAAGATTGGGCTAGGCCAAGATTGGTATCACGAAAATTGTCATTTTGGTGCTTAGTAACGTTATATGTCTCGAGAGTATAAAATACTTCCTCTCGGCGGCGCTGGCCCTCAGTAGGCTCAACCCCAGCGAAAATAAATCAGCTACCCGTCATTCGAAAACCGGATTAGGTAGTGGTCCGCCAGTCAGTGGTAACACGGCAGTTTGTGCGGTGATGGCTTCCAATAGCGGTCAAGTACGAAAATAGGCGTCCCATTAAGCCCCACCGGCACATTGAGACTGCTTTGTATGCGAACTGAAGCTTTACGATGGCGAGCGACACTCGCCATGACAAAATATCACTTTGAACTCCGAGCATTTTACAGGTAACGGACTATCCTGATCGATGCCTAGTCAAACCTGAAGGCAGTGAAGCTGCGTGGTGGACTGCCTATTCTTGGGGTGGTAGAGGGGCGCTCACCGGTCGTTTTATGGAACTCACTCGTCCCGTTATGCCTTGGGGTTCTCTCTCTAACCCAACCAGCAGCCGCACAGCGGCGCGTAATATAGGCAGAGTAACACTACCGACAAAGACAAGGGAGATTGGAATGGCCACTTCTGGATCAGTAGCCATCGCCAGTCAGTCATACACAACTTCGAGGTGTGGAACACCTAGGGCTCGATCTCGCGATCTGTTGGTTAGAAGTCCAACGCCTCTAACCACTGACCCAGGAACTCCAGAATTATGGACCTGTCCTGTAGTTTGTCTTCAGTCTACCTAGTGCGTTCACTGGCCTAAAACGAATGCTTGTTGAGCAATAAGTAGGCTCTAGAACCTCAAGAATTGGCAGAGTAACATTGCCGACAAACACAAGGGAGACCGAAATGGCCATTTCTGACTTATTAGTCCAAAGCTTCTAACCACTGACCCACGGGATTGTTGTCCTGTCGGTTGCGATCAGGAATATAAGACGGGACGAGTGAGTTCCGCAACACGATCGATGAGCGCCCCCCTACCATTGCATATGCCCGATCGCAATTAACAGGAAAACGAGACCGTGCCTCAGTGGTTAGAGGCGTGGACTTCTAACCAACAGGTCGCGAGATCGAGCCCTAGGTGTTCCACATCTTGAAGTTTGGTATGACTGGCTGTCGACGGCTAATAAGTCAGAAATGGTCATTTCGGTCTCCCATTGCGTTTGTCGACAATGTTACTCTGCCTATTTTTGTGGTTCAAGAGCCCAATTATTGCTCAACAAGCATTCGTTTTAGGCCAATGGACGCATTCGGTAGACTACAGGGCAGGTTCATAATTCTGGAGTTCCTGTCGACTTTGCAGAGAATTGTTGGTGGGCCGAGGGGAACATGGGACAATAGGAAAAACCCTGAATGAATGATCACACTGCAAGTCAAACGGCCGCAGACTGAGAGAACACTGCCAGCACAGAAGTCTCTATGCATAAAGTAAGTCTACCTAGAGCGCGACAGTAGGACAATGCAACTCAATTTGCCCTGAAGGCTCTCGGCGTCAAAAATATATAGGCCTTTTCGGTAAAAGAGGTTGGAATGCATAGGCGAAATGGCGGTTAAATGAGGAACAGGCTTTTGCGGAGCAAAATCTGACGAGCCTAAGAGAGGCTCGGAAGTAGGAAATGATGGAATCAAGTTGGAACAGAATACGACCCAATCGACACAACTGTTTGGCTTCCGGAAATGCCGATTTGCTGGCGCAGCCAAGTTGTACCTTCGCTTTCCTAGAGGCGAGCCATCGCAAATTTAATTAGAGCGACCATTGTAAGTAGGGCTCAAGGTCGGAGAGTAATGCCGATACACTTGGCACTAGGATAAATTTAAGGGCTCCGTTATCAGGGCCCACCAAATCTGACTTAGTAAATGACGTCTGTGAGCAGTTCAGACGCAGGAGAACCAGAATGGGCCATAGCGTTTGTATACTGTCGTAGTTGTAATGACGTGGCCGATTTTGTGCCGGAACACGGGGCACGGAAATTTGAAGATAATTCCGACAAGTTAAAAGCTAGTTTTTAGCACTGCTAAAGAACCCGTAGTCGACTGTTTCAATTGTACAGAAAACTAACAAAAATAACAGTCTTTCGTGTGTAGATATGAAGTACACGACGGAAAACGGTAGAGTAAAGAACAGTGTGACAGCTCCTCTACAGTATAAGAGATGAGCACCGTCTCCTCGTAGAAAGGCTTGCTCAGCGCGTGCGTGAATATGAAAATTCGACTTATGCGTCCTGATGACTTACACATCAACCACTTATGTGCGCCGGAGATAGAGGCTACAATAAACTGATAGCGACTTTAGAACTAACTAATCACCATTGAAAAACGGTAGGGCTCAACCCGGTGGTTACCAGAGTAGCAGTCTTGTGTCCCATGGGGGCGCCATGTAAGCTTTTAGTACCAAATCCTATCCCAGTCGGCAGTTTGTCTCGAAGAAGAGATACTCCCTCAACATTCATAGGATACGTACAGGCAGGAAAGGAAAATAGCATGAACGGGAATAAAGGTGGGACTGACTTATATGGTCCCCTAAACAGGACATGGGAACAGGAACGCGCCGCACAAGTAATAAAGCTGGACCTGCGCACAGTCCCGGAAAGGGCAAAATATTGCCCTGTCATAAGACTAAACCATCGCCCTAATCTTAGTTCCAACCCTACCCTAAGGCTTAACTCTGCAGCTAACTTCAGTCCCTACTTTAACCCAAAACTTGACCCGACTTACCTTACCGTTAACTTCAACTCAAGCCTTAAGCCTAATCCTTAACCTAACCCTAAGTTCACTGAAAGTTGGCTCAAGGCAACCCGTATTGAAGGCGCTTCCTGTTTTCATGTCCTGTTTAGGGGGCACATGAGTCAGTCTTACCGAAATAAAGACCAGGCACTTACTCATCTTCGCTGCCGACCTCTACCATGAAGAAGTAGACGTTTTCATTTGCTGAGGCCAGGAGTGGCTCAAGTAGTGGTTCCACTGAAATGGTAAAAAAGAAATGTGTCTTTTAGATTAATTTTACTAGAATACTGGCAGGGAACGCTAAAATGAATAATTAATTCAACGGCAGAATCGAGCCAGCTAGACAAGCATGAGATGTGAAATTCAGCTATAAAGAAAAAAAATTCAAATAGGGAAAGCCAGAGACATTGCCGCCACATATTCCCTTCGGGTCAGACGTTTTTACAGAAGAAGGGCAACTGTGCGCAGATAAATTGTGTGTGTGTGCATGTCATGGTGGAGTGGCGCTTACCGATCCAGGGGGGAATGCGGGCATTCATGTTGGTCTTGGAGTTAAAGTCCAGAATATTTGCGGGTAGTCGTAGAGCGATAGTCAGGTGCACACTCAGCCCCAGGTCGAAAAAAATTGCAGCATGGATGTAGATCTGGTAACCGAGTTTAACGTTCTACAGCTGTGAAGTCTAAGCATGTATTTTCACGGTGAAGACAGGGCAGCTATCCTGGTTCTGCCGGTGGAGCAGCTGTTGCCGACTTATTTCTTGCAAGGGCAAAAATATTGGAATAAAATAACCTTAATTGTCGTTAAGTGTCGTCAGAGCTATGCATTATGTATAAAGACGGTTAACTATTCAACTGTGTCTGACAACGATCAAATGGTTGGCCGAAGACTGCGCCCGTACGCGTCCATTGTATCGCGTCGTCACATCAGCAATGGTTACACTCGTTCCCAGTGGATTTTAAGGAGTTTGTAGGTAGCGTCTACATTGACATGCCTATGATACACACCCTATCTGAGTAAATCCGGGTGTGCGCACGCATGAAGGAAGAAATACCTACCTTTTCTGCACTCATCATTCCAGCTGTCGCCTGTGGAGGGACTAGTGGTGCCTTCACAGAGAACAACCACCTTCTTTCCGTTACCGAAGGCAGTCTGCAGATTATCCATTAGCTCTCCTTTACTTTTAACGTAAATCTGGGTAGCCGGCATTACAAACCTAAAAGTCGGTAAGAGGATAAGGGTATTAGTCCATTTTTGCAGGCAGCGGTGAGCAAGTAAGAATAATACATGCCTCTAAGAACTACGAGGAGCAGACTATAAGGGGCTGTCGTCACCGCTATCTATGCTGCTTATGGATGAGTGAAGTGGTGGCCCGGGGTGGGCGAAACCATCTTTGGATGGAGGGAAATTTGTTGCAGGTGATGATTCCCCCCTCCTAACCCTCGACAAGCACAACTAGTGCTCCCCGTAAGGAATTGGGAGTGCAAAAACGTACGATTAGGATTGACTATCGTGCGGCTGATTAAATAAAACAGGGGGACAAAGACCTACAAATTCGACCCTCTGGAGTAACTAAGTGACTGCTATATCTTAATGTACCTCATGCATTACTTAGCAATTCATTACACAAAACCCCTTAATTCAGACGTGGTCGACGAACTGGAGATGTGCCCATTCACAGAGAAAACAGGCAGAAGATGCTGAACTAAGACACTTCAGACCACAGTCTTGGGAGACGTCTACCGATGTCGAAACGTTAAACCGATAAAATCAGTTCGAAAACCAAGAAGCAATCCAGAATTAGTAGACGGACGAAAGTGTAGCCAAGAAGTCTTGGTGTACGATGAAGGCGCGATCGGAATAGGAAGTCCCAAAATGCCGGGTAATTCCCCTGGCTGAAAGTGAGCTACAGGCACGATGAGCTACAGGGCGATGGAAGTGCGCACCCGAATGCAACCACTTGAATGTAAGTAGTTAATCCTAGAATCGGTAAAAAGTTCAATGAAGAATGAGACAACGTGACCTTGGCACACACCAGACTAACACAACGCCGAGACATAGAAAACCATCCAGCCCAGGCTCTGAAGTGCATTATAATCCACGAGAGGGCAATGCTACGGGCAAATGGCACTTACAGTAGGTGGGCTAACTCATAAAATGTCAAACTAATTTCCGATATGCGTTTTCGTTTTGAAAAGATTGATTTATTAGGGTTGTAAAACTAATCGGTCTGTAGTATAATTCTACAATAATTCAGTTAGCTTAGGATGCCGGCCTTCGAACGAACTTCCTTCCGGCTGCATGCAAAAACTATACTCTGTAGAAAATGACTACTTAAGTAGCATGCAATTTTCTCATTGATTTTCCATGCCGCTAACAGTCCAATTATATTTCATCGAAAGCATGTATAAAAATATTCATTATCTAGCTCATTCGGCAGAAAATTACGTCTTCTTCCAATTTTATACTCGAAAGAAGGGTATAAATCGGCTTTTAAAGTTTTAATTGTGAGATTTTTTTAATGCCGTGAAATGGCCGTTCACATAACGTCGTCTCCGCATTCACCAATGAGGCTTGGAAAGTTAACAATATGGCTCGAAACCACTGCTAAATTTTATGAACCCCATATGTTTTCCTCTTAATATCGTAGAGAAATGTATGGTTTTCCATACGCGGAAACCCTGAGTGCAAGTGCGACGGCAGGGCACGCTTAAAATTATTCGGGAATTGGAAATGTTTTTGAAAACGGAATATTATCCTTCTTTCGAGTATAAAACTGGAAGAAGACGTAATTTTCTGCCGAATGAGCTAGAGAACGAATATTTTGTACATGCTTTCCATAAAATATAATTGGACTGTTAGCAGCATGGAAAATCAATGAGAAAAATGCATGCTACTTAAGTAGTCATTTTCTACAGAGTAGTTTCTGCATGCAGCCGGAGGGAAGTTCGTTCGAAGGCCGGTACCCTAAGGTAACTGAATTATTGTAGAATTATACTGCAGACTGATTAGTTTTACAACCCTAATAAATCAATCTTTTCGAAACGAAAACGCATTTCGGAATTTAGTTTGACATTTTATGAGTTAGTCCACCAATTGTAGCTGGAGGCCCGGGTGTGATAACTGGCTCGACGAAAATCGGCATCATGTTTGGTGGAGTTAACTATGCCTTTTTGGTCGTCATGGGTCGTTCATTTCGCAAAAAAAGAGAAGCCCGCCAGAAGGACGGAGTTCCAATAACGGACTCTTAGAGAAACGCTGCCCGGTGCAGGCGACCCTAATCCTTGTGTGTTGTCCAATGTTTTCAGTGGAACAGTTATTTGCGGGATATGAACACCTACACTGAAAGCCATGAGAGTGTTGGACAGACGAGACGGATGAAGCAAGCGATTGGTCCAACATAAACAAATTAATATGCACAATATTCAGTAGATGCGCAGGTTTGCAAGAATTGAGAAACCTGAAAACATGGCGCCCAAACTGCCGACAAAAGTTTGAGGCTGAAATACCGAATCAACCCCTCCAAAAACCAAAGGCATCAAACACGTCGACTTAAAAAACCGCAGAGTGAGAACGGTAGAGAACCAATAAAGACCTATATATGAAAACCCCATCGTACTCACGCGTATTCCATAGCCAGTAAACACTGTCCAGCCCCAAAGAATGGGGGTAATCCATAACCCGATAAGTTTTTTAGATCAAGCAGGAGTCGGGGTAGCCCCAAGAAAGGCGGCAGTCATGTGCATGAGAGATTGAGTGGAAATACTACTCAGTGTTGAAAGCCCCGCAGAAGTGTAAATTCTACTTAAATAAAGAGCACTGCCGACAGCGATGTAAATTCAAAGTATGTAAAGCACGACCCCAGTGAGTGGGCACATTCCTACTGCTCAATCCGAGCTACTAAAATACGTGTCGGGCCTTAACAGCAGTTCCGGGTGCAACAGGAGACATGACTGTAATACTGCTGGATTAATACTATGTAAACGGCATACACGCACTAGAAGAACCCGTCAAGCACGTATGCATCAAAATGCAGACGAAGAGGCGACAACATCAAATAGGTAAGCGAAGAAGAATGAGCAGAAATGGAGCCTGGACCCTGAAAAAACTTTACTCTGGAATTTTGTACGTACATGAGCCGTCAAAAAAGTGAAGGCCGTGGGGGATAAATGATAAATGCAGACAGGGAAGGGTGAACGAGCGGTGGATGCAACGGATACACACATAGCCGAATTTCGAGCAAACCTACACAAAGGAACGTCCATTTCGGCAAAAAAGAAACAGATAAAAGTAATGTGCAAAGGGCTGGAAGCGAGTAAACAGGGCGGTGAAAAATTTCAATTTCGACGTTCCCATTGTCACGTAGGAGCTCGAACATCGTATAGGGCATTAGGAAAAAATACGGTCACAAACACGCAGGCAGAGGAGAGTCAGGCATTGAGTCATGTATCCGAACTTTGCAAACCGGAAGGCAAAAGCTGTACAAAGTTCCGGGGCAGGGATGTTCGGAGTAGACGAGGAGTAGAAACTAAAAGAGACTTGAGACAACACATCTCGTGGATTCGGTCTGATACAACTAGCTTGACAGAAGAAGGGGAAGGATGAGAAAAATGAAAACTATGCAGGGGAACGGGCGAAATGAGCACTAATCTGTCGTCGATAAAAAGGTCTCTTCAACGGTTGATTTCACAATTTTCAGACAGTGCATATGTGTATGCACATACCCCACCCTCGCCCTACAAACATCGGTTTCCAAACTGGTAATCCGAGTTTGTCTGACACTTCGGGGGAAACATATCCGGCAGTGGAAGTGTTGGAGACTGTGTGGACATGTAGCCAGGAACGTTAGCTTGCTGAGTGTGCGCCTGGATACCAGATTGAGAAGCTCCGAGACTTTGTTGCTGCTGAGCGGCGTATTCATTGGAATAACGTTGCTGCTGATGGCGGTAGGAGTCATCCACCGCAGCCTGCATGCCAGCCATAAAGTGACCAACAGCTGTGGAAGGACTACTATGATAGCTAGCAGTTCTGGCCAGTTCTGATGGCTTCATCAGACAGCCTTCAGCAGCTGCCACTTGAGGCTGTTGTTGCTGACCAGCATACCCCGAGGAGGAGGCCGGCGTCCCAAACATGCGGTTTGTACTGCCACCAAAGTCCGTAAACTGTTGGCCCATGCTGGGGAAAGTGGCAGCAGCAGCAGCGGCGGCAGCAGCGGCGGTGGCGGCGGCGGCGGATGAAGAGGCTCCTCTGGCCGCTGCAGCGTAGATGGCCTGATTAAAAACTGCGCCTGTCGGATCGTATTTAAGGCCCTCTGGAAACTGCGGATAGCCACTGCCTTGAGATGCAAACGAACGTGAGACAGACGAGGAGGAGGAGGAAGACGGGGAAGAAATGGCAGTCGCTGTGGGTACAGTGGTAATGGGTTGAGCTTGTGAGAATACGGGATTTTGAGTAACAGCGACTTGTGCCTCACAGTTTCTCGTCTCGCCGAATGAGGAGCCGCGAGAGTCGGCGAAAGCGCTGTTAGACAAGAAGGAGTTGGTGGCAGAGTTGGTACGTTCCCATGCCGAGGTCAATGAGCTGCATATGCAGGGTGGAGGGTGTCTACAGCGCGGGCAGAGAGGAAAGGGTTGAGCTGCAGTGGTGGTTAGGGCATCAGCTTGCTCCTTGGAGGTCAAATTAGAAACCACACTGCCGCCAACTGCTTTAGGCAGAAAGGTGGCATTGGCCGTAGTTTTTTGTGGGAAACGCGATTGATCGTTGACGTGTAGCCTGCTGTCCGCAGGATCGGGCGAGGACTTTGCACCCAACAACTCATGACCGAAGAACTGTCCAGTCATGGCAGGAAATACAGGCATGTTCGTCTTGCTTTCAGCAAGGGGTGCAGCCCAGTCGGCGGCGGGTAACGTCTTCCTGACTTCCTGCAGAGGGTCGCCTGCCACAGAATCTGATTTAGCCAGAGGAAAAACTGTAGCAGGTGCGCTGGATGCTAATGACTTAGTAGTGGCAGAGGCGCTGGTGGGATGAGAGACTTGAGAACCAGTCTGCGCTGCCTCAGTTTGGCAAGGGAACTGACTGCCCGTCCCGACGGAGCTTTCAACGCTAGAAAAGGAGGTATCTTGGTTGGGCTCAACAGTTGTCCTGTTCATTGAGACTGAAGGCGAGGT